TAGTTGCACGCACTGCTTGTGTACTGTTCCACTGAGTCCGCTCTGGCACTCGAACCGCCAGAAAAAGATTTAATGAAGAGAGATGGGTTTGCCTTAAAGTGTTGTATGCAGTCTGGAGGTGGTTCTGGTTGTTTCCTGTATGAGAGAGAGATAGACTTAAAGATATTTACACTTATTTATTTTTTTGTCAATAAGTAAAAAAATACTTTTTGTCAGAGATTCAATTTGGATTTGATGCCTTTTGACAAGGTTCAGTCTTGGTCCTGTAGTAGGCCTAACTTTTTCACAGACTGTGATGAATTAACATTGTAAATAGCAATTTTTATATTTAAATTAAAACATTTGTTTATGTTATTAGGCTACATGTCAGTTACATTTAGTTTCATTGTATTTAGTTTTTGTTTTCATTGTCTCCCGTTTTTACACTCTTAAAAATAATGGTTCTTTATTGGCTATTGATGTGCACAAACGGTTCTTTATGGAAAAGGGTTCTTTAGATTTTTAAAATGTTCTCCACACTAAGAAAATAATGGTTCTTTTAAGAACTCATTACTGAAAGGTTCTTAGGGAAACAAACAGTGCTAACGTACACTCACGGTGTGCTGTAATACTATTGAAAATCATGATCCTAACCTTTATCTCCATACGAAAGCTTTTAAGAGCATTCCTGCTCTTAATCATCTTTATGAAGGTTCCACATGCTCCAGACCAACATACAACACCTGAAAATTACATGTGGAATGTGACATTTAATTTAATATAATTTAAATTAAATGATAAATTATTCTAAAAAACACTTGTGCATGTTGTTTTAACAATATTTTATTAAATAACTTACAAGTTTTGTTGTGGGCAAAACACATGAAGATCTCTCTCCGGGAAGCTACACTCTTAAAAATAAAGGTGCTTCAAAAGGTTCTTCAAGCGATGCCATAGAAGAACCATTTTTGGTTCCACAAAGAACCATTCAGTCAAAGGTTCTTTAAAGAACCATCTCTTTCTTACCTTTTTATAATCTGAAGAACCTTCTTTCACCACAAAGAACCCTTTGTGAAACAGAAAGGTTCTTCAGATGTTAAAGGTTCTTTATGGAACCATTTGGGCAAAAAGGTTATTCTATGGCATCGTGAAGCACCTTTATTTTTAAGAGTATATATATATATATATACATACAGTATATACACAGTATATACACAGTAAGACAATACTACTACTACTACTACTACTATGCACCACTAATAATAATAAGAAGAAGAAGAAGAAAGAAGAAGAATAGCATGTATTAAAAAAACAGGGGTCTTCAAATGAACACAAAACTAAATATTAATATTTAATATTAAAATTTACTATAAATTTGCACTAAAATATGAACAAAAACTTTTAATATTTTCAATATATTTTGAAAGTCATGTAAGTAGCCCCACCCACTATGAAATCCCATTGGTCCAAAGTCCTCTTACTAATGGTGTTAAAAAAAAAAAAAAAAAAAAACTTCTTGAAAAATACAAACGAAATACACATTTCTGAACATTTAAAGACTAACTAAATTAAGTTTAACTAAAATACTAATTTTGCAAATGAAGTATCAGCAGTGACTTTTTCACCCTTGTGTTTACAGCTTATAAATATACAAACACTCAGTTTAGTGAAATTGTGAACGTGATAGATCTAAAAAAAAAACAAAAAAAAAACTTCTTGAAAAATACAAACGAAATACACATTTCTGAACATTTAAAGACTAACTAAATTAAGTTTAACTAAAATACTAATTTTGCAAATGAAGTATCAGCAGTGACTTTTTCACCCTTGTGTTTACAGCTTATAAATATACAAACACTCAGTTTAGTGAAATTGTGAACGTGATAGATCCGTAGTAAGAAAACAGTAGTCAATGAGATCATGTGATCCTGAGCATGGCTGGAGCTCAGAATGAGTCCTCTGTCAGGCCACCACCAGTATCCCAGAGTGCACTGGGCAGCCAATCATATATGGCTGACACAACAGCAGGGAGAGAACAGGTTCCTCAATCCAGCAGCTAACAAAAGCTCATTTATTCAGCCGTTTTGTACAGAGGAGATTATTGACAGCCAGACTAAAACAAACACACACACATTTGATTTTATGGTGGAGACAGACATCGGTTGATTGATTGATTGATTGATTTGCTTGCTTATGTTTACCTGTTAAAGGGCATCATGCTATTTTTATAAATTTGTATTATTAATTATTATATATAATAATATTATTATTATTAATTATTTTATTAACTTGTTTTGTTTTTTATGTATTTTGATATAATCTGTTAACTGGAGTTTTTTTTATGAATTAGTTATTTAAACTTAATATTAAGTTTAACAACTAAAGGGCCTTAAATTAATTAATTATATTTTATTTATTTATTTATTTTTTGTTTGTTTCTCAATTATTTTTAGTAATTTATTTTGTTTATTATTTATTTTCATTTTATTTCATTTAATATTAAGTTTAATTGTTAAAGGGTCTCATTTTATTAAATTATTATTGTATTTATTATTTATTTTATTAATTTATTTAATTTCGGCTATTTCATTTATTAATTATTTTAACGTTTTTGAATTTAATATTATTTAAAAAATAAATTATTAAATTAAATTACAATTACATTTAAACTGTTTGGGGACATTCGGTGCCCCAAAAAACAATGAAAGTTGACCCACTGGATCTGATCAAGATCACTGATTCGTCACAGTAAAACAACAGCGCCCATGATTGAACAGTCATCTGAGTCAGTCCATAGCGAACGAACTCCGCTCCCAGATCGCAATGTGATGAACAAATCAACACATGAGTATGGAGAGGCAGAGAGATGGATTATTGATTTGTTGACGGGGTGTTATATCCATCTGACCCCTGAGAAAGGCCGTCAGGACAGCGAGGCCCACACAAGATGCAGTGTTTGCTGTCAACAACAGTGTGCTTGTGCTGCATATATGAGGCCACAAAGACACATTTATTATGGCGGATAAAAGCCCGTCCGACAATCGCCAAGCGTCCAGCCCGCTGGATAAACGCCAGGGAGGAGTAGGATGGGAGAGGGAAGGATCGTAGTGCCCCGTGACTGCATTCCCATGCACCTCTTCATTTTTATATAGAGTATGACTTCATGACTTCAGATTTCACCGTTTATATAGGCTTAGAACAATAGTAGTAATTATTTCAGCAGTTTAATACATTATAATATTTAGTAAGTATAATATCTAGTTAAATTGTATCTTTATAATACCTTTATTATAACTTCTAAGTATATTCATAGTGTTCATAGTAAACTATAATGCAATAATAATGTACACAAGCATTCAATAAACATTTATCTAATTTTTATAACATTGTAACTCCTGCTAAAGTACATTATATAAAACATATTTATTTGTACGTTTAAAGAGTAATCACTGATAGTTATGAAAAGTATATCGCATGAAAACACAAACTCAATTTCATGTTTTTCCCATGTGTTATAATGCAACTGTGATTACTATTATTTATGAAAATAAATGTTTTTGTATTGCAAAAATATAATAAATATTATAATATTTAATATTATATAATGCAACTGTAATTACTATTATTTATGAAAATAAATGTTTTTGGATTGCAAAAAAAGAAATATTATAATTTAAAAATAGATTGTATTTTGTACAATATATTGTACAATATATTATACAATATTGTAAAAATTTATTTTAATTTAAAAATATATATTAAGACATTTAAAAAACCTATATTATATTATATTTTTAAACATGAAAATTTGCATTAAAACTTGATGCTGTGGTAAAAAAGACAATTATTAATTAAAATATAATAACAATTATTATTATCACTAATCAATAATAGTGAATAATAGTATTATATAACACTATTATATATAATAACACTATTATATATAAAAGCAATTACAATTGTTGTTATTATTCAAACAGTTAATGAATATATAATATATACAATATAAAATGATATATTATTTTATAATAACAATAATAAATAATACAAATAGTACATTTAAAATGTAGTTACAGTTGTTGTTAAATAAGAATAATGATAATAATAATTTGCCATTTAAATGTATTATTTAAAATTATTTTTTTCTTTCAGACAGCCAATGAAAATATTATACAATATATATTAACATATGAACTTAGTAATATTTTATTATTATTAATAATAATAATACATTTAAAATGCAGTTACAGTTGTTGTTAAATTAGAATAAGAATAATACATTTAAATGGCAAATTATTATTATTATTATTATTATTATTATTATTCAAACAGACAATAAATACATAAAAAATAAAAGAGCAAAAAATAACGAGTATTATAAAAATAAATAAATAAATGGTATTTGAATAATAATAATAATAATAATAATAATAATTATTATTATTACAGACAAAACCATGCTTATGGCAACAAACATCTGTAACAACAAACAAAAATTCGGAAAAAAAGATACTTTTGAAAACTATTATTAGGTTAAAGTTTCTTGAAAATGTAATCTACAGATTGCGTTAATGCATTGTGTGTGTGTGTGTGTGTGTTTGTCTCGGTGTCAAAGCTGTTTAATAGTCCAGTGGTGTTTAGGACACACGTCTGGCCAATTCTATAACAGAAAAGGATCGGCTGATTAACATGCCACACCACTCACTTCCTCTCAAACACACTATTGTCGTCCGCCGAGATGCCTGACAACAAAACACTTGTGTGCGCTTATGGGCAACAGAACTTCCAAGAAAGATCAAAAGGAAAACAGAATGGAAAAAAGTGGTGAACATATATCCTTATGGCCTACAACAAGAGGACGAGATGACCAATGTATAGAAACAAGAGACTGTCTTTGATTCCTTGGAAAAAGACTGACAGGACAATGCAGTTACAAAGAAAAATAAAAAAGGCAGGTACAAACAATAAACATACTAGGTATCAAGTTTCGTAAACCCAGTGACAACAAAAATTTACCATATTTAACAAAAACAAACAAACAAAAAACCTAACCCAGTTTAATTTTGCTACAAATGTAAACAAAATGTAAACAAAGTACTATGCTTTGAAAGTTGGCAAAGGCATTATTTTGTATAATAGTATTTTTACAGCTTATTTATCAAATTTGGCCACACAAATGTTATACTTTTTTAACAAAAACAAGATTTAACAAAAACAAACAAAAAACCTAACCCAGTTTAATTTTGCTACAAATTTTACATGTAAACAAAGTACTATGCTTTGAAAGTTGGCAAAGGCATTATTTTGTATAATAGTATTTTTACAGCTTATTTATCAAATTTGGCCACACAAATGTTATTCTGTGTGTGTGTGTGTGTGTGTGTGTGTGTGTGTGTGTGTGTGTGAGTGTGAGTGTGTGTGTGTGTGGTTGAGTGAGTGTGTGTGTGTGTTCATCTTCATCTCTTTGTATCTCACTCTGAATGTGTGTAGTGGAGTGAGATCAAGGTCAGAAGCTCATTGGTCAGTTCTGGTGATTGACAGGTCAGAATCTCCAAGCTACAGGCCCCTCCGTTTCAGACCTATAAATGGACTCCCATCTCACTCTGCTCTGAATCGCCTCATTCTGACAAACTCTCTGCTGGTAAGTCTAGTACGTTTTTATCATTGCAATGTTTTACAGCTTATTTTGCTCCAAGCGTTCCGAACTGCAGATTAAATTGCAAAACTAACTACATAATGACTAGAAATGTGTTTGCAAAAGACAGAAAGTAAGTTAATGGTCCATAAAATTGCTTCAACACTTAAACTTTTACAGTCATTTGAGGGAAAATTTAAACAGCTTGAAATTGCTTTTAAACATTTTCACATTTTTAGTGCTTATTGTAATTATTCCAGAAAACGTCGAACGCTACACTACATTAAGATGTCAGACTTAGAGAACTGCCTGGGAACCATCATTGAGGTCTTCCACAAATACTCGTCCAAAGAAGGCGACAAGTACAAATTAAAAAAGACCGAACTCAAGGAGTTGCTCACAAATGAATTTCCGACTCTTACCGAGGTAATTAATCTTCAAACTTTAATTAAACTTTAATTAAAATACACTTTGGCTTGAAATGTAAAGAATGTTGATTTTCAATTAAGGCTTTGTGTCAGAATTGAGTTTTTGGGTCAAAAATTTGGTTAAAAATATTTTTAATGGCGAGCGAATTTGCTCTTTTCATATTTAAGCTTTTTCTTTTCCAACTCTTTCCGAATTAATTGAACTTCAAACTTTTTTTTTTACTCTACACTTTGCCTTGACATTTAAAGAATGTTTGATTTTCAATCAAGGCTTTATGCCAGAATTTAGTTTTTGTTTCAAAAATTTTATTAAATATTTTTAATGCTAAGCGAGTTAGTTATTTTCATATTTAAGCTTTTTCTTTCCCGACTCTCACAGAAGTAATTGAACTTCAAACTTTTTTTTTACTCTACACTTTGTCTTGAAATTTAAAGAATGTTTGATTTACAATCAAAGCTTTATGTCAGAACTGAGTTTTTGTGTCAAAAATGTATGATTAAATATTTTGACGTGAATTATCAATTTTTATCCATTTTAATTACCGAGGAAATTAAACTTCAAACTTTTTTTTTTTTTACACTACACTTTGTCTTGAAACTTAAAGAATGGTTGATTTACAGTCAAGGCTTTATGTCAGAATTCAGTTTTTGTGTCAAACATTTACAAATAAATATTTTTAATGCGAAGTGAATTAGCTATTTTACTATTTCTTAAGTTTTTCTTTTTATCTCGCTCAGCATGTGAAAGATCAAGCAACAATGGACAGTTTGATGGAAAGCTTGGACACCGATGGTGACTCGGAGTGTGATTTTCAGGAGTTCATGACCTTCATCACCATGGTTACCATCTGTTGCCATGAGTTTTTCGAACACCACGAAGACGAATGAGTTGAATTTAATAAAACAAGTTCAGTTTTCGTAGTTTAATAAGTCACAATACATTCCTTCTTTTAAAGTTTGCTTTGTTCTTTATCATATCATATTAGGATTGCTGTTTTGTTTGGAAAGAATGTACATGCAGCTTGTATGACAGTTTGTTTGGCTTATTTTGCTAGACTCAAAACTAGTTCATAATTTATTACAAAACATGTTTCTGTTATTTTGTCTAGCCATTTTTTTTTTCTCCAAGACATCCCCATCATAAATCTCATCGAGTGAAATGCAGACCAGGTGTTGTGCTTTTGCCATTTCAATTCTAGGCTGATTGCGAAATATATATATTTTTTATTAGGATGCTATTGACTTACGTCGGATTGTTCTGGGGCCTGAGACAAATCATACTGTGCTTTAAAAAGACCCACCAAAGGGAATTATTCTTTTGAAAATATCTAATATGATGTTTACAACCGTCCCATATGTTATTAGAGGCATGAAAACTCATGTTTTTCATGTATGAAATGTCCAGAATATTTACTAGCAGATTTAATAGTACATTAAATGTGTTTTCCAACTGTAACCTAAGCTAACAGTCAATGTCAAAACATCAGGCTTAATTCATGAAACAAGGCATTTTCTGTGTAAATCGTGCATAAATCTACTTGCATGCAAATTATTAAACTGAATGCGACAATTTACTTAAGAATGTATTATGAACAATTTACAAAAATTTGTGTAACAAGGCCCTACAATGAATGTTTCCTTATAACGCTAAACAAAAGATGAGCAAGTTTCAGAAGCCAAACTTATGGAATGAATCTATCTATCTATCTATCTATCTATCTGTCTGTCTGTCTGTCTATCTAACGTGTGAATTTGTGAAACATTGACTGCATTAGTTTAAAATAAAGATGTTTAATATAATTCCATTAATATCCCATCATTAACGCAACATTTATCTTTATCCACAAATCCTATTGTGTTAGTTATAGTATACTTCATGGTTCAATGTTTTTGAACAAAACATAATTAATAGTTAATTGCAATATTTATTTAAAATTTAATTTAAGAGCATTTGTGAAGAGGAACTGGGTCCAATATAAAACAAGAAAATCATTAGTTATATGTTTGCCGTTACCTTCTCATCCAGAAAAATTTGGACGTCCACAACTGTTTACAGGATGCCTGTAAACAACTGCTTGGCATTGTCCCTTGTGACTTCCATTGATTTAGATGTCCCGCAGGTATTCTCATTACCGAGCACAAACCGTCAATACAGAGGCCTTCACATCCGTGTGTTAATTAACAGATCAATGGTCGTGCAGCAAGACCCTGAAAGATGTTCAAAATAATATGCACACAATCTGATAAAGAATACCTTCTTCATCTCAAGTATGTTTACATTAAGCAGCCTTAAAATCACCTACATATTTAAATATGTAGGTGATTTTAAGGCTGCTTAATGTAAACATACTTGAGATGAAGAAGGTATTCTTTATCAGATTGTGTGCATATTATTTTGAACATCTTTCAGGGTCTTGCTGCACGACCATTGATCTGTTAATTAACACACGGATGTGAAGGCCTCTGTATTGACGGTTTGTGCTCGGTAATGAGAATACCTGCGGGACATCTAAATCAATGGAAGTCACAAGGGACAATGCCAAGCAGTTGTTTACAGGCATCCTGTAAACAGTTGTGGACGTCCAAATTTTTCTGGATGAGAAGGTAACGGCAAACATATAACTAATGATTTTCTTGTTTTATATTGGACCCAGTTCCTCTTCACAAATGCTCTTAAATTAAATTTTAAATAAATATTGCAATTAACTATTAATTATGTTTTGTTCAAAAACATTGAACCATGAAGTATACTATAACTAACACAATAGGATTTGTGGATAAAGATAAATGTTGCGTTAATGATGGGATATTAATGGAATTATATTAAACATCTTTATTTTAAACTAATGCAGTCAATGTTTCACAAATTCACACGTTAGATAGACAGACAGACAGACAGATAGATAGATAGATAGATAGATAGATTCATTCCATAAGTTTGGCTTCTGAAACTTGCTCATCTTTTGTTTAGCGTTATAAGGAAACATTCATTGTAGGGCCTTGTTACACAAATTTTTGTAAATTGTTCATAATACATTCTTAAGTAAATTGTCGCATTCAGTTTAATAATTTGCATGCAAGTAGATTTATGCACGATTTACACAGAAAATGCCTTGTTTCATGAATTAAGCCTGATGTTTTGACATTGACTGTTAGCTTAGGTTACAGTTGGAAAACACATTTAATGTACTATTAAATCTGCTAGTAAATATTCTGGACATTTCATACATGAAAAACATGAGTTTTCATGCCTCTAATAACATATGGGACGGTTGTAAACATCATATTAGATATTTTCAAAAGAATAATTCCCTTTGGTGGGTCTTTTTAAAGCACAGTATGATTTGTCTCAGGCCCCAGAACAATCCGACGTAAGTCAATAGCATCCTAATAAAAAATATATATATTTCGCAATCAGCCTAGAATTGAAATGGCAAAAGCACAACACCTGGTCTGCATTTCACTCGATGAGATTTATGATGGGGATGTCTTGGAGAAAAAAAAAATGGCTAGACAAAATAACAGAAACATGTTTTGTAATAAATTATGAACTAGTTTTGAGTCTAGCAAAATAAGCCAAACAAACTGTCATACAAGCTGCATGTACATTCTTTCCAAACAAAACAGCAATCCTAATATGATATGATAAAGAACAAAGCAACTTATGGAATGAATCTATCTATCTATCTATCTATCTATCTGTCTGTCTGTCTGTCTATCTAACGTGTGAATTTGTGAAACATTGACTGCATTAGTTTAAAATAAAGATGTTTAATATAATTCCATTAATATCCCATCATTAACGCAACATTTATCTTTATCCACAAATCCTATTGTGTTAGTTATAGTATACTTCATGGTTCAATGTTTTTGAACAAAACATAATTAATAGTTAATTGCAATATTTATTTAAAATTTAATTTAAGAGCATTTGTGAAGAGGAACTGGGTCCAATATAAAACAAGAAAATCATTAGTTATATGTTTGCCGTTACCTTCTCATCCAGAAAAATTTGGACGTCCACAACTGTTTACAGGATGCCTGTAAACAACTGCTTGGCATTGTCCCTTGTGACTTCCATTGATTTAGATGTCCCGCAGGTATTCTCATTACCGAGCACAAACCGTCAATACAGAGGCCTTCACATCCGTGTGTTAATTAACAGATCAATGGTCGTGCAGCAAGACCCTGAAAGATGTTCAAAATAATATGCACACAATCTGATAAAGAATACCTTCTTCATCTCAAGTATGTTTACATTAAGCAGCCTTAAAATCACCTACATATTTAAACGCAATACATAAATCCAAACAGTCAAATTCAAGTTTGTTTGAAGGACTTTTAAGTACTGATCAATGACAGACTGCCATACTGAATGCTCCCGATAAGTGGCAGTGTTGTGTCGTGCCAACTCAAGTTCCTTGATCTGAGCAGTGGAAATGAGAAATGTGTTGAGGTGGACGGTGGACGCAATATGATAAAGTCACTGGATTTATTTGACAATGCAATAAAGCATAAAATAAATAAATAAAACATGATAAAAAATAAGTGTCCACGGTATTTCTGGAGTGAAAGATGAGTGCCTTGGGGTGATTGCTTTGGCTGAGTTGAGCAAATGAGGCGCTCTTGTGTGTGTGTGTGTTTACCCAGCTGTGTGGTCTGACTATGACCAGTCTTTTAGCATCTCACAGTAGGTAATGTCCCATGAGGTCACTGGATTGGACACCAGGGTAGAATTTGGGAACTTAGCTTGCTGCCAAAAAAGGCTTTGTGATTCAGTCTGCTGCTTCTGGAACATAAAATCACAAATATATGACATTATGTTACATTATGATGCTTTTCTAGCTATCTAACAATTTACACAAATTTGTGTTTAATGAACAAGGCCCTACAATTAATGTTTCCTTGCAAAGTCAAATAGAAGGTAATCTATCTATCTGTCTGTCTGTCTGCCTGCCTGCCTGCCTGCCTGCCTCTCTATCTATCTATCTGTATGTCTGTTTGTCTGTCTGTCTATCTATCTATATCTATCATCTGTCTGTCTGTCTGTCTATCTATCTATCTATCTATCTATCTATCTATCTATCTATCTATCTATCTATCTATCTATCTATCTATCTGTCTGTCTGTCTGTCTTTCTTTCTATGCATGTCTGTCTATCTATCAATACATAAATACCATTTGGAAATTATATCTTCATGAGCTCTGGAGGTTCTCATTTGAAATGAGCAATGATTAACATACATTCATTTCCCTACCATCCAGATTTTTCATTTTCTTTCCATCATTAGGGATTCAAGGCAGCTTTGAGAACACTTGAAAGAGAACGAGGGGAATGCAGAGAGAGAGAGAGAGATAAGATTGAGTGACTGTATATTTCTTATATAGGCTGCGTATGTGTGCGTTTTGAGCGAGAGATGCAGACAGAAGGCATTTTAATGACATCCACCATCATGGATAAACACTTCTTTGATTATATAGATGCCTCAAGATGCAACATAATTGGAAGTACCTCACTGTGAGCGCTTGCCAATCACTGATTGATTGTTTATGTCTACATGTGTGCAGACCTTCTGCATCAGAGTGCAAAACCTTACTGATTTGATATACATTATCATTTCCACAAAGCCAACTATCACTGCTGATTGGTTGACACATTGTAAAGGTGTTGATTGAGTGTGAATATCCAGACAGCTATAAAGTCATTTCAGCTTAGTAGTTCCGCTTTGCACCAAAGTTGTGTCAGCACGTCTATATATATATATATATATATATATATATATATATACAGTATACTGTATATATTTTATTACAAGAAAATATGGAAATTAAAGACTAGCATTTTAGGCTAGACACTGTTATCCTCATATTTCCGCCTTCTAAAACAATTACATATTCCATAAATGTAAACCTGTTTAACATCATACAGAAAAATACTATAAATACCCTATTTCAAAGAATGACCCCAGGATTTCCATGCGACAATCTTTTTCTCTTTCTTCCTCATCTCTGTCTCTATATGATGTTCATTGTTTAAATGGGAAGAAAAATGGAAGGGGTCTCAGAAGTGAGTGGAGATGCTTTCTTGGGGCTGCATGGATGCACATGATATGAGAAGCAAAATTAAATAAAGGCTGATTGTGTTCAGGGGATTATATCGGGGTTAGTCCTGCACGCTCGGCTGGAAACATGACAGCACAAGAATAATTAGCTCACCTGCAAATATTCCTAACTCACTTACACTGGCTGACTCCAGTGACCAACCTGATGGAAGGAGGGGAGTGTGTGTGTGCATATATATGTCTGTAAGCGTGTAAGAAAGAAAAAGGTAACCCCAGGAGCTCAAAGACCCCAGCAGTGAGAACAGATGTCCTACCGCAACCTATAGCAGCCTGTGAGTGACCTCCATGAGAGCGGGCCGTCTTGCATTAGCACCTGCCCTTGCTCACGGGGAGGCGGAAAGGAAGTCATTTTAATTGGAGTATTACTTACGGGCCAGTGATTCATTAGGCCTTTAACCTTATCGTATATTATGTTCATTTTGGAGAACGTATGAATGTCCTGCAAAACACCTGAAGAGGTAAAATGGGACATAGATATGTGCTTATTTTATTCTAGGAATCGGATTGGTTTATATTAATTTTTACAAATTACCCAGCTTTCCGGCAGGGCCCTTAGAGCCCACACTTAAGCACCATCCGATTAATCCCCCAGCTATCCCAGCATCCCCCAGAGAACCACACCAATTGTAAAGCAATAAGAACCTATAGTGGGGTCTTCCCTCGAAGACTTCTGATGGGGATTTTCGGCATCTATCTATCTATCTATCTATCTATTTGCATTTCAATATAATTACTTTAAATAAATATGTACATACACAGTACAGTGGGGTCCAAAAATATTGAAAACCTGAGAATTATATATATAGGTATATATCTTGCAAATAAAATATGTACAGTACAAAACATCATATGTATACAATAATGTATGTGCTTTTTTGTTAGTCTTCTTCACTCTTCACCATGATGACTTCCGATGGGAATTTCGCTGCAGAAATCTGAAAGAAAAAAGCTGCTTTTCTGGCATTAATTAACAGAAATCACTACAATACTGTTTGTCAAGATCTTTTTTGGCATCTTTACAGATTTCCTTGATTTAAACTGCTTATTTATTTAATTTTAAGAGGCTTTAAATCAATTAATTAATATTTTTTAAACCAATTTTAATTAAAACAATATTTGCATAGAAAAATATAAATATTTTAAATATATTTATGCATATATACAGTACAAAGAGGTCCACAAATATTGAAAATCTCTATGTATATTATACTATATGTATATAATAATATATGTGCTTATTTTACATTAAGAAGCTGAGTGGTTTATATTATTTTTTACAGATTACCCCGCTCTCCGGCAGGCCCCTTGGAGCCCACACATAAGTGCCATCCGATTATTCCCCCAGTCACCATGAGGACTCCCAAAGTGGATTTCACCACAGAAGTGCTATTTCCCTGCCATTACATTTTAAAGAAATTACTATGATAAATTTGCATAAGACTATTTCCTTCATTTAAATGGTTTAATTGTGTGATTTTAAAGCTGTCAAAAGCACTCCTTTTTGAATTGTTGGTCTATGTAAATGTGTAGATACTGGACGATTGTGCCTATTGTTTCGCATCAACACCCCATGCAGATAAACATTATTTTATCCCATTTGTTCTCTTCTCCTAAACATTGATACATCTCTTCCTACACCAGATTCTGCCGTATTGCTTTAAAAATAATTGTAGCTGAAGGTTCGAAATAATGACAGAAAATTAACTGTCACACCGAGCCGCACAACAAGGGCCAATACTCCAAAACGTCACAACAAATTTCTCTTCATATCCAGCGTGTGCTTGAGCAGACCCACAGGACAGACGGAAATGGGAAGCTCTTGTGCCGAAATGATGTTTTCTGCATTCCACGAGTGGCTCTTCTCCGAATTCATTATGCTTTTCTGTTTCTGATATAACCGTAACGTCTCGGAGCGGAATATTTGTTTACAGCTTGCTCGACAAACGAGTGCACTGTTATTTCGGACGCTGAGTCTGGTTAACCCCACAGTGTAGATGTGATTGTCTCTAAAGCCGACGAGCCAGGATTTCAGCAGCGAGTTTGACCTCGGAATGAAAGGTCAGTCGTATAATGCTGTGATTTCAACCAGAACTGTCTTAGTATGCCTATACTGTTTGCAGTTTTTATCCTAAAAGAAGCATTTACTTTCCTTGCAAGACTTGAATTATGTGTCGCTGCATTCGTACATGAAATCTGAGCTGAACTCTTTTGTTTACGGCATTTCAGTTTTGCTTCCTAGTTCTAAATTGTTTTAAAAACAATGGCACAACATAACATTTAATAGGAATAGTTCACAGAAAAAAATGGAAATATGCTGAAAATGTATTCATCCTCAGGCCGTCAAAGATGCAGATGAGTTTGTTTGTTCATCGGAACAGATTTAGCATTACATCTCTTGCTCACCAATGGATCCTCTGCAGTGAATGGGTGCCGTCAGAATGAGAGTCCAAACAGCTGATAAAAACATCACAATAATCCACAAGTAATGTAAGTAATCTGCTTCCTGAATGTTTGTACTAAACACATCATTCATTAAGATGTTTTTAATTAAGTCCTCTATCCATAACATTGCTTTCTTCATTGAAAAAGTTGTCTTATCTGAATCAGGAGAGAAATATGCACAGATCAAGTGTTGTTTACAAGCCAAAACAGTTTTAAACAAATATGTTGGTGGATTTTGATGTGAAAGGACAACAGTGGATGGACTTTTTCACTGTAGGAAGCATTATTATGGATTATGGATTTTTGCCACGGTTTAAAGTTGAAATGTCTTAATGATGGATTTGTTTCTTATGAACATGTAGCTTTTCTCTTCAAAATATGTTAACTGATGGACTGGAGTCATGTGGATTACTTATGGATTACTGTGATGATTTTATCAGCTGTTTGGACTCTCATTCTGACGGCACCCATTTACTGCAGAGGATCCATTGGTGAGCAAGTGATGTGATGCTAAATTTATCCAAATCTGTTCTGATGAAGAAACACACTCATCTACATCTTGGATGGCCTGAGAGTGAGTAAATGTTCAGCAAATTTTCATTTTTTGTGAATTATTTCTTTGATTGTGAAAGTAGGTGTTATCATGTGTTGCAGTTTTGTTCAAACGGGTGAAAAATCTGATTCACGTTAACAACCCACATAAAAGCATCTGTGAACCCTTGTTCAATTTTAGCCTTACATGTGCCGTATCAGAATAGCTTCCTTATCGTTTTCATTACTGAGTTCAGAGCACCTTGGAAGGAGATTGATGACAGGTTTATAAATGGTTTCCTCAAAAGTTTTGACGTTTATTTATAACAGGAGTTTCTCTGTTGTGCCGTTCTGCTGCTCGGCTTTATTGTTCTTGTGTAAGTCAGATTGGTCGAGGTCAGAAACGCCTGTAGCAAT